AAGCCCCGGCTATCTAACAAAATTCCTGAAGTTGGAAATACCCTGAGGGGTGGTGTTCCCCAGCAGGGAGCGTGGTGCAGTGACAGGCAAATTAGCCTGAACTTCCTGGTCTTTCTGGGTGACGTGTTTCATTGGCCTGACCTGTGTCAGGTTTTCATCTTAGACTTTCCTCTCCACTTAAATGAGGCCAAGCTGTGTGAGTTTTTTGGGTCATTGTATTCTTGTTCGTTGTGACCTTTTCCCCCACTTGATTTCATTGCTCTAGTTCCTACTCATAGCAGTATCTGTTTTGTTTCTGCTAAATCTGTTCTTCTCTGTCCAGAAAGTAGACAAACCAAATGTTTGATTTCCATGACCCTCCCAAGTCCCAAATGGGATCCTGTTAATTTTCCTCAGAAACCTACAGTGTGGTTGGTGCCTACAAGAAAGAAAGGAGTGGGGGTGGGGGGGAGATGGTGCATACCTTCCAAGATGCTCTAAGGGACTGACCCGTCTTCCCAGTCTTTACTTTCTCTGCCATTGTATCTTTGAGCTTTTGCCTCCGTGCCTTGGCTTCTGTTGTTTTGTATGTCTGGAATTTGTTCTCCCAAGCCAGTCTCTTGTTCTTCATGACCTGTTTGCCTTAATGGAGCCTTCCTTGATCTTCCCACCTTGAAAACCAGAAGTACTCTCTCTTTTCTGCCATCTTTAAAGTTTGAGGGACCGTACCTATCAACCAGAATTCTACATCTCATTAAACTATCAAAGGCGAGTGATAGGCATTTGTAGACCACAGAAGACTCCGTAATTTTGCTGCTCAAAGACCCTTTTCATCCAGAATGTAAAGATACAGTCTTAGTTGCACACTCAGGGACCTGTATTGCTAGCTTGAGATTAAAGGGAAGGTATTTACACCAGAGAATCAGCAAATGCTACAAAATAGATTTTTTTTTTCCTAGAACGTCAACTCCCCTGAATGTGCATTGGTTACCCTGCTGCTTCTGTATTTTTGTTACCCTGTATACAGATTTATACACATGAATGTTTGACACACTGTGAATATGAGATAGTTAAGACTGTACTTCCAGTCAGCAATCCTTCCTCATTGGACTGTTGGGGAACGACGTATGGTCAGAATGGCTAGGAAGTGTGTCTCTTCACATTCTTGTCCCATCCTCCTCTCCCTGTGGGTACCAGAATTAGGTTATCTCTGACCCTATCCTTTCCTTGCTTCTGTGACCTTGGCAAAGGTCTTCACTTCCTGGAATCGGAGCTCATACACTAATTGGGAATCTGCCTCTGCAGTTGCTCCGAGTTCACACTTTGAAGTAGGGAATCTTGGTTTGGTTACAGAGACATCAGTAAATGGTCTCCTGTTCATGTTCATAAATACTCTTTCATAGATTGATGACAGGCAGGCAGTAGGCTCCTATGTCAGAAACAGAACTCTGCAGCCGGCAGCTGCTCTGAATAGAAAGATGCAGGTTGGCCTCTGTTGGTCACTGTCTCATGCCTGCCCTCAGAGCTGGCAAGGAGAAGTGCTGCCATTTTGTTAAGATCGTTGACCTCTCTTGGACATGGAAGCCCAGGTCAGATGAATGGGAGTGCAGCCTAAGAAGGAAAAGGGAAGCCAAGAGACAGGAAGCTAAGTGTAGGTCAGGACTAAAGGAGCTGGTAAATGGAGGCCCTGAGCTGGGTGGTGGAGGTAGAGAAGCGGGCTTGGGAGGAAGTGGGTAGAGACGGGAGAGGCAGGGTGCTTGGAGAAGGTCAAGCAAACTTGTAGTGGGGTGTCCCGAGCTCTGCCTCCAGTGGCAGCTTCCTGCTAAACTGGATCAGGCAGAGGTTCAAAGGCTGGCTGCAGAACGCCGACTCTTATGGTTGTGGAAGACAGTTGGAGGGTCTTTGCTGTTGAGCAGGAAAAGGGTATGTTCTAGGTCGGGTGTCATTTTGAAAATTCCACACTGGCACTCAGTGGCCATTGCCTCTCTCCTGCTAAGGTCACTCCTGTGAAAGCGCCAAGCACATGCCCTGGGAGAGAGCAGGAGGCTGGAGGAGTGTTCACAGGATTGTCACATGTCCTCCTGGCAAAGTTTAAAAAGGCCTATGTAACTACCACCTGTGGCTTCCTTAGATTTCCCTCCTCCTTGCAGTGAAGTGAGGCCACATGACTAGCTCCAGCCAATGGGCTTAGGGAAAGTACTGTGTGTAACTTTCAGGCAGAGGTTTTAAGAATCCATGCCTGAGTCTCCTGTGACTTTCCCCTTGACCTTGTCTTGGCCTAGACTTCTAAGTAACCGCAAGGAGGAATTGCTTTGAAAAGTCACCTGGAGCCATAGTGAATTTTGTATGAATAAAAAAAGTCTTTATGTTATTAGGCCACTGAGATTTGGGGTCTCTTTGATACCACAGTATAACTGAGCCTATTCTAAATCAGAGCTCAAATAATGAAATGGATCTTGAATTAAGTGCGAAAATACATGTTAAGCTCCTACTACAGTATCTAACCCATGATAGGAGTTTTTCACCATCTTCTCAACTCTGGGTCTGTTCCCTCATTAGTGCAAAATTAAAAAGTTAAATTTACATCCCAAAATTAAAAGAAAATTACACGAAAAATTTTACCACATACCAATGAGATAATAAACTTCAGGGGTTTTTTCCTTCTCCTTTCTTCTGAATTGTGATCAGAAGTGATTCAGAAGGTATTTCTCCTCCCGTCAGAGCTCTTCTTCCTCCTCTTTCAAAACTTCAGTCCCTAGGAATCTAACATACAGAACTCACTCAATAGTTCCAACAAAATCATCTTTTCTAAAGACATAAAATGCATAACAAAAAATGATGATAGTTGAAGAGCTTTAACTGTGTTGTCAACAACATAAGGACTTTATTTCAGAATTACTACAAATTAGTCATTATTTCCTTACATAAAGGGAAAATAGAATTGACTTCCTTTTTAATGTTGATAATAAAGACCCATAAATGCTGCTTTTCAGGGCTTTTATCCCAAGAGACCTATGTAAAAAGTGACTTGACCTGTGCCCTGTCTAAATTCAGTTACAGAAAAAGCTAAAATATAAGAAGATTCTCTGGGCCTTAATGAGTAGGAGACAATAATGAGAATTATTTTAAGAGAATCCAGGCATTTGTGTGTCAATAGTCATTACACTATTTCATAGGGTCTGTTCTAGAGCGATTTCATCAGGAACGTATTGTGAGCTGTCAGTCTCTCTCTCTCTCTCTCTCTCTCTCACACACACACACACACACCACACACACAGTACTTCTCTAAGTACTTGGTACACATCTTGGTTATTTACAAACTTGGATAGAAATGTGTTGGTTAAGAGTGAACTGTTTTTTGGGCAGTCTGTGCCCTTCTAATAGGGATCCTTCCCCGTCCCTCTGCCTTCCAAAGTGAGTCACTTTTTATTTTACTCCTTTTAAACTTTGTATTACATATTTCATTGATTTTTTTTTTTCCTGCCCCTGGGTGACCCCTTTGGGAGCCAGTTTTGCTGGAGAAAACCTGTAGCCTTGTTGGAGGGGAACGTGTGGGTGCCATGAACCCAAGAGAGATCACAAGGACAGTGAAAGTCTACCCTAGATAATCAGTCGACTTGGTCTTCCTATATCAAATTGGTTTTGCTTCTTAATTATTAAGTTTTTAGTAAAATTCTGGCAGTTAAATTGCCTTTGAAGGACCATGTCTGTTTCAGAAATAAACACTGTGTCCGAGTAGAGCTCCGGTGCTAGATGCTGAGTCCCAGTGACCCAGGAGGCCTCATATCCCTGGATTTTCAGTGGAGTCATTCTTAGGGCTGTGCATATATGCTGGGTGCTGGTATCAGCAGTAACACTTTGCAGGGTACTGTTGTGTGGCTTTGAGCTGTTTGCTGGCGGGGTTGGTGAGAGGCCGAAGCCCCTGGCATGATTGCTCCACACAGAGCAGCCGGGGTTGAGGGATCCTGGAATATCAGCAATTCAGTCCTGTTTTGGAGAAGATTCACACCACGCCCACCAGGAATTAAGCATGGAGAAAAGGGAAGCAAGGAGAAAGGGAAACTCTTAGTTTTCAGAATTAGATTTCAAAGAAAGTTCTGCTGTTGTTAACCGACAAAAGCATCCTCTGGCCCTTGATTCCCTGAGTTACCTGCAGTTCTGTGACCTTGTATGCTTGCTGAAGGTGTTCTCTCTGACTGACAGGGGCCTAACCAGTCTGTAGAATGCAGGACGAGCTTCCAAGCCATGGCAAAATGACGGCTTACCCTTGGACGAAAACAAAATTGGGTCTGTGGAGGTGAGGTCAAGACCCTTAATACAGTTACCTAGAAAGAGTCACTTGGAGAAATCCAAGCAAAGTTACTACAAAGACTGGCTCTATGCTTGGAGCGGAAGGCAGTTAGATGGTGTTCGCCGCTCAACACCTAAGCTCCTTCCTGGACTGAGTCGTGGGGCACCGTTTGCCTCTTGCGGTCATGGGATTGGCTTCCCCCAAGGAAGGGCAATTCCAATGAGTTTATTCATGGTAAACATGGGTAAGAATAATCTGTCTGCCTCGTATGAAAGCCTGGACATAAGAAAACTACGAAGTAAGTAGAGGAACAGCTCTTCAAATGTTATAGCTTTCACATTTGAGAAAAACATCTCCTCGAGATTTTAGAGTAAGAACTGTCTTGCTTGGTGCTGAGCACATAGTAGGTGTGCGGAAAGTAATTGTCAGTTTTCTCTGGTAAAGCAGTACTTGCGTATTATAAAGATCCATGTACTTAGAGTAAAAACAACCTGAAATCCACTCCTTGGTGTTTGAGGGTATCCTCTGGGACATTTTCAATGGCTATAAATGTAGGTATTCTTAAACAAAACCAGGATTATACTGTGTATGTTTTATAAACTGTCTCGTGTTAGTAAGTGGGATCCTTGTCTGCAGTGTCTACAAAGGAGTATCCTGTAATATTCTAAGGAAGAACTTGCCAGTGCTTGGAGTCGGACTTGACACACCTAATGTGCTGTTGCTTATTTAGCAGGTCTCTTCTGCGGAGGTGCGCATTGGGCCCATGAGACTGACGCAGGATCCAATTCAGGTAGGCCTCTGTTACTCGTGGGACTCTGTGTTTGGAGCATGTGGTTATAGGAGCACCCTCAGAAGGGCTCTTTCAATCCCACAGCAGGTAGCCAGCCTCGCCCCTGCAGACACACCTATGTGTACATAAATACTGCATACGTATGCCTCTAACGTAAATGCTTGTTGCTATTAGTGCCATACTTGATGAACCCAGTCATTTCCTTGAGGACTTGGACATCATCCTGTCGTGAGCGTAAATGAGTTGGTAGGACCCGTGATGGCTTGGGAGGGAGAGCAACTGCTCCACCAAAAAACCGGTCTGTTCCACACCCTGTGGCAGCTGGAAAGGGAAAGAAGGCGTGTGTGGCAGATGGCCAGGCATTTGCCATGAGCTGCAGTTGGACATGAATCTTGGCTCTTCCAGCCAGGTAGCAGAGCTGTGTGATCTTGGTTATATTGCTTGATCTCTTGACCCAGTGCCCTGTCCATGAAGTAGAGCTAATTCCCCTCTCTCATGGGGAATGAGTTCAGTGAAGTTGTATTGAGTGGCCAGAAGACTACTTGGCAGTAGACCATCCCAGTAAATGACAACCATTGTTGGCTGGGTCGAAAAGATGACAAGAGGCTCCCCTTCGTCGTCCTCCGTGACTTGAACCAGGCAGTGGTCTAGACTCTGTAACACGGAGGGAGCTGGCTCTAGGAAGAGAAGGCCGGGTGCCTCTGGCCCTCGCCCCATGGTAATAATGGCAGCAACTTGACACCTGTCCTCCCTACAGCCTTTAGCATCCCGTGGCCCCTTGAGAGAAACATGCATGGAGGGGTTTGTACCCTTTTAAGTAGAAAGTGCTTATTGTTGAATCCCCATCTGCTTGCACATCTTCCTGATGGGCTTAAAGAAGTGAGACTTTTCCTTATTTAAAAAAAAAAAAAAGTAGCTTGTTAACACCTGGAAGCATGTCTTGTACTTGGAAAAGTGAATATGCCAAAAAAAAAAAAAAAAAAAGTAAACCAAACATGTAGTTGAAAGTGAAAAACCAAACAAGGAAATGTACTGTTTGGTTTATGAGCAAATGGAAAAGAAAATAATGTTTTATTGTTGCTTAGGAAAGGAAATACAAATCTAGGGAAAGGAAAAAAAACAAAAGGAAGAAATTTAAGCTTGGGAAAATTTGATGAAAACAAATTTAGGAGTAGAGAGAGAAAAAAGAATTTACTAAAATAAACATAAGCCCCAACTATTTGTATAGAATACAAACAAGTGGAAAATTCCAGTGATCATTCCGGGAGCGTGTACTTTGTTCTCCATTTTGAATAAAGGCAATGACAAAGGATCTAATAATAGTGTTTATTCCCAAAGCAATTTCCTGAATATTTCTTGAGATTCGTGGAGTTTTAGATCAATTAGTTTAATTTACTTTAATTTTTGCCTGTGCTGCACTGGAAATAAATGATCATGATAAGGCTGTCTCATTCCTTTAGAAAATGTAATTTGTCTAATCATAAAGTATTTCAAATATTCATAAAGGTACATGGGTAGCACCATACCACTTTCATCAAATATTAGCAGTATATTTTTTCTGTTTGAAGTTTTTTTTTTTTTAAGAAACAAAAATTACCCTTAATTATCCTTCTGTCCCGTCCCCCGCCGCCCCCCCCGAAATCCTCTCATCCCTAGAAGTAACCACTACTTGGAAATTTATTATGCTGGGTGTTTGTATATTTACTCTACATATGTATGTGTCCATTCATAATAACTGCTTTGCTTTGGGGTATTTTTAAGCTTTATTTGAAAGGCCTCAGGCTACAGGCATCCTTAGGAAATTTTTCTTTTTTCACCGTCATTTGCTGTCTTATGTAAGAGTCTCTTCCCTAATGTAAGGTCACAAAGATACACTCCTCTGTTTTCTTCTAGGACTTTTAGCTCCTACATTTAGCTCTGTGTTCCAGTTTGAGTTAATGTTTGTATATGGTGTGAGATAGGACTTCATTGTTTTACATGTGGATGTTGAGCTGTCATAGCACCATTTGTTTCCCCATATTCTTTCCCCCATTGAAATGTCTTGGCATATTTCTCAAAAGTCAACTGGCCATAATTGTAAAGGTTTATCTCTAGATTTTCAGTTCTCTTCCGTTGGTGTAAATATGTCTGTCCTATTCAGTATGACACTATCCTGATTGCTGTGCTTCAAAGTGTGAATCCCCTAAGTGACTACAGTAAGTCTATAAGTTAATTTTGCAAGTATTATTGTGTTCACATTTTGGTCTCCCAATTTGTTAATCCAGAGATTTTTACCTTTCTTTAAATTTTCTTCTTTCAATGATGTTTTATAGTATTTATTGTATGTTTTGGATGTTTGGTTATTTTTCCTAAAATATTTTATTCTTTTTGATTCTGTGGCTAATGGAATTATTTCCTTAATTTATTATTGAGTTATTCATTGCTAGTATATAGAAATACAATTTATTTTTATTTATCTTGTATCTTGGAACCTTGCTGATCAGGCTCTTGTATTAGCTCTCAGACTTCTTTATGGATTCTTTAGAACTATCTACAAGGTCATGCCATTAATTCTTCCTTTCCAATTTGAATACCTTTTTATTTCATTTTACTTGTCTGGTTGTTTTGCTAGAAACTCCAAAACAATGATGTATATAGTTTTTTAAGAGATTTCTATATGTCCTCTCAAAATGTGTTGTTAATGTTATGTACTCCTATAAGCAATATGAGTTGTGGTTACTCCAAATCCTTGGTAATAATTGGTGTTTCAGTCTTTTAATTTTAGCTATTTATCTTATGGTGAATTAAATTTGCATTCCTCCATGATTAATAATGTTGAGCACTTTATTGACTTACTGCCATTCTTTTATCTTTTGTAAATGTTTGGTTAAATCTTTTTATTTTTAATTGGATTGACTTCTAAAACATTACCAAATTGTAATTCTTCATATACTCTTATCCCAAGTCCTTTGTCAGATTTTGGGAGTATTTTCTTCAAATCTGGTTCTTCTGTAAATTTTCTTGACTTTGGTTTTGAGCAAAATTTAATTTTGATGTGACCTAATTAATCATTTCTTTGAAGGTTCTTGCTTGTTGTATTCTCAGAACCATTATTCCCAGGTTGAAGATAATTTTTTTTTTCCTAGAAACTACTGTTTAACAATTAATTTTAGATCTATAATCAACCTCAAGTTCATTTTGCTGTATGGAATGAAAAGGACATGAAATCTCATTTTTTATCTTCCTATTGAGGCCTAGTTGTTCTAGCTTCACTTGTTGAAAAGACTGTATCATCCTCCATTCAATTTGATACCTTTGTTACTGTTTTGTTTTTTTTTTAAGATTTTATTTATTTATTTGACAGAGATCACAAGTAGACAGAGAGGCAGAGAGAGAGGAGGAAGCAGGCTCCCCGCTGAGCAGAGAGCCCAATGCGGGGCTCGATCCCAGGACCCTGAGATCATGACCTGAGCCAAAGGCAGAGGCTTAACCCACTGAGTCACCCAGGCGCCCCTGTTATTGTTTCTTTATTGCAACTTGTTTGGGCAATAATGGAACCAATTTTGAAATTAATAAACAACAAAAAGCTTTTAAAGATCTATCTCTATTTGAATAGGAGATTCTATATACATGAATTAATTCAACCTTACTAATTATGCTATTGAAACTATCTCTATCTTACTTTTTGACCATTTTTTTTCAGTTTTCTATGGCAATGACTGTGTTGTCAGTATCAGCTAATACTTGATGATGTTTGACTCTGGTGTTACTATGTGTCCTTCATTATTATATATTCCTGGTGACCATCACTTTTATTATGAGATGTCTTTTTGAACTTTTGCCTCACATTGTTTAATCTGTTGGTAATGTTGCTGCACGAGCTTTTCTTGGTTAACTTTCTTCTGATATGTTTTTGCTGTTCATTTTCAGTTTTTCTTTATAACTTTATATTAAATATGCATACTGTAAGCAGCACATAGTTTTTATTTCCCCCAATCTATTCTGATTTTTTTGCTTCTAATGAGTTAATTCATTCTGTTTACATCGAGTGTGATTAATGATACAATTAGTTTTACATTTTCTATCTTCTTAACCAGAAATCTTTATATTTCTGCTTTCTGTCAAATTGGCAATTTTCAGAATTTTTGGTTTTAAAAATAGGTTGTGTTTCTTTCTTTTTTTGGTGGCCAACCTTCAGTAATTTTTTAATATGCATACTTGCCAGTCAAATTTGTGACAGAGATACTGTATTCAATCCTATCAATTGTGATCTAGTCCTTGGTAGGATTTAAATTCCCACTGAGAGCTCTACTCCATTACTGAAAAAACAGTTGTCTATAATTTTGTATTTATTTTTAGTTTGTATGAGTAAGCTAGGAGATAACAAAACAGACACGGTGAGATCATCACCCAGTGCAAGAGCTGGAATGTTTCTAGTGCTATGTACCCTGCCTGATTCCTATCACATGAGTTTGGCCCCAGATGATGCCATTACTCCTTGGTCACATTGAAACGTGGTTTCATTGGTCCATCCAGAAACAATGGACAGAGCACCTGTGTGTTCAAGGCTGCAGTAATAGGTGCTAGAAAGGAAGAGAGACTGCACAGGGCTCTCTGACCAGCCAGAGTTCTGCTCAGTCACTTCTACTATTTGTAACACTCCAACTTAAGGGACCGTGACACCAATTTGTTTTTGTGCTTCTGCTACTGATACTATAACTGTTCTTACAAAAATCCTACTATGTCCTAGAGCCTTTGTATTTGTGTTTTGTTTTCCCCCTGACCTGGAAAAAATGCCCTTTGTGAGTGCAGTGGCATGCTGAAAATGTTAATGAGCTACATCCACCAGAGTGCTCAGGGCTTGCAAGGTGCTTGTTGATAAGAACACTTGAGGATAGGGTTGCTTTTGAGGGTTCATCTCTAAGTTCACTCAGGGAAACTTCTGCCCATGTCAGGACATGGAACATGGGGCTCTGCCCGCCCTCAGTGAGCTGGCAGGAGCAGTGTGAGAAGTAGAATGG